AGAGAAACAACAGGTGTCAGTTGAGAGCCATTCCTTGTCTTGTGTCTTCTGTCTTCCTGGAACAGTTGTACAGGTTTCTTGAACATCACTTTCAGAGAGTTTTTATCTTCTTCCACGCAGGTTTCCTCAGGGATATCAAGTAACGTCTTCGACTTTGCTCTGATACTTGGTGTTTTTCTATCAAAAGAATTATAATGGGTAGGCCAATATTCAAGCGTCCTGAGAAAGCAGACAAGCGGGTTGACCGTACTTTGCATATTTCGCAGCCGGACGGCTACTTTATTTATCTCCGATTCGTAGAACATAACATAGTTGATGCTTCTGAGTTTATATGGACTTTACTTACGTCTTCCATCCGGAAGGAAAATCCTGAACTTTGTGTTCAGAAAAAATATATGCAGCCTCTTTAACTAACAAGACCTAAGAGACAATTGTCTTGTTGTGGTTCTTTTGTGGCCTTCTTACAATTTGTTTGCTCTTGATTCATGTCAGTTATTTCCTAATAACTACTTATCATTTAACTAATTAGTAATAAAATTACTCGACTACATGATCCATTATTTTTCATATAGCGCTAATTTCTCGTACATTAATTTATCTCCATTACTAGCTTGCAATAACCTCTGAAATTTCATACATTTGTTCCCCTTAATGAATTTAAACAAAGCAACAACTACAGATTTAGCAGAATAAAATGGTACCATATTTTATTTCGTCACCTTCTCTTCAGCTGCTTACAGGGCTAAATCTGCAGTTGTTGCTTTGTTTAAATAACCTCTGACCTTTATTAGTGATTAACATTGTAAGTATAAACCCCAGAATTATTCTACAGCCTTTGAGGAGAGAGAGAGAGAGAGAGTGATCTCTTTGTTGACTTAAACATTTTGAATTCACATAAAAAATGGTTAGGGTCAATTCTACTTAAGTGTTACAAGATGTAAATTTTGGTTAAATAAATGACTAAACGATATGCTATGATTACAATGTATCAAAAGTTATTACAACATGCAGTACTTGAAAATATACTTTGAGCCCCTTACTAAAAATTTCAATGAGTTTGTTTGCAGTATTGAGTGACACACTGTTTAGAGAGTAATCCTTCATCGACAGATTTGTTGAAACTGGCCATTTGGGCACACAAAAAAATAAACAAACGTTGGTTTTCTATGACGAATGAACAAAATATCCTGATGGGAAGGAATGCTTCTTAATTTGAAAAGTCCTTTCGGCATTGTATTTACATTCTTCATAGATTCACTAGAATGATCCGGATATGCATAATTCACTTGAAGAAGCATTTAGAGTCAACTATTTCCAATTCGTTATAAAAAAGATTTATCAAAAACTTGACACATTCCCTAAACGCAGAAGCAGGATTGTATAGACTTCAATGTGACAACTGTTTAAAAATGCTATAGAGACATCACAGCTGCGATACATTTAGGATTACTCATTTTTAGTACTGAATGAAGGATAATAAAACTAAAGAAAACTGAAGCCATTACATCTCACGGGATTATTTTGAAAACTTGGTACTGGCATATCTTAGGTATTATATAACCGTTATTTACTGTTTTCACCAAATCCTTTCAATGTCTGACATGATGGAGCAAGCATTTTTCACAGATTTTATGTAGTTGAATAAAAAACAGAACAGAGTTACTTTCATGTATTTCCTACATAAGCCTTTATATGTTAGTGAAGCATATAATTAAAACGTACATTACACGTGAATATGTAAACAGCTTCTTAGGAATGTTTTCCAAGATCTAAACAAAAGATTGGCTAGTCAGTAAAAACTAGACATGAGGATTATTCGATTGTATAACTTCTTCAGTTTTCAGTACACAGAAGAGACATGACCACTGGATTTAAACATTGGTGTTATCATAACAAACTAAAATTATTACAGTTATGAAGAAAACTGAAGTTTTCTGGGCTTCCACTTTATAACATAATTTAATATATGAAAATGTAAAGTGTGGTCACCCTTAAATTTCTGTTTTTATTATTCTATCTTTTTTATAAATTATAGAATTTTACCAATATTTTCAATGGCTTTATAATTTTTCTTAGCTGATGTATTACGCGTAGGCTGGATAGACAGAGGTCACTGATCACTTTCTCATTCTACCTGACTAAACTGGAATCGAAATCTCCTTCTTGTATATAAAAACCTTTAGTTTAAGGTCTCCTGATTGTCTACTGCAAAATATCTCAGCTAAATATATTTACGTAACTATTATTGTTGGTATGCATTAACCTACGGTATGTATTGATTTTTATCAATATGCAACTCACCAGCAAACTTGTACTGAATGATATATGGTGAATTCTGCTTACCAAATTCTTTAGTAGTCTTCAACAACACTGCTGTAAACCATCCGTGTAAAATGAAGATATATATATATAGGCGCACTCAAATCGTACAATAACACCTAAATGAAATAACTTCATTCTAACTACTCTAGGAAGCAAAGTGTAATGAAGGAAATAAACGACACTTCAGTCAAGAAAATCTTGTTATTCGACGAAAGCATCTTCAGAGACTGTACAGTCGTATTTATATTTACCAAAGATGAATGTTAGTCCATTATTGATCAGTAAGAGTGACATAATTGATATAATTACTTAGAAGTGGCTTCAGAAATAAAAATAAAAGTTATGCATTACATATTACTCAATTGCACAAGAGTAATCTTCATTGAATGAGAAGAAAGGTAGTTGAATGTCCATTTAACAAGTGTGCTTAGGGTGATAAAATGTAAAAAGGAACATATGACAGTTATAATAGTGAACCATTATTATTAAAGTAAAAGCAGACTAAAAGTAAAATTAAAAAATTACAGGGAGCGACTAATAAAGAGGCAAACGCCATGGTAGAATAAGAGACTATACAAACTTTTTCTGTATACAGAGTGCGGGGTTGTACTGAAGAATCGCCAACTCATCCACCACAAAAAATGTTCAAAATTGACGCCATTTGTACCATTTTGCCTCACCTTGTAGATAATCTTGAAAGACGACCATGGTGGAGCTGCGTGGCTTGAGCTCACCAAGTGCTCGACAATTGAGCTGGTAACCGTCTTGCATTGTCCTTTGGCTAACCATGTCGGATAATGTTCAGAGATGCGTTTTGAAAGTGTGCCCTTTGTGTGATCGTAATCTATCTATCTTTAATTTGTTATATCCGCCGAAGTCATTAGAGTGTATACTACTTGGAATTTCCTATCACTAGCATGCAGCATAGAATTAGCAAATGAAAAATAGTAGCACTGTGTGGGGAGTATTTCAAATAGGGATGAAACCTGCAGTTGAAGCATCACTTAACAGATTCAAAATAGGCTTGATTTGTAGTTTTGAAAATAGCTCTGTGGGTTATTCGAATTTTTCATTTTGCTCAGGCTAATTCTAAATTAGTATGTTTCCCATACTCGAATGTATCACACAACTACTTAAACCAAGAAGCTTTAGTAATCACCCCTACTACTATCGATAATCACTTCGAAATAGCAGCTCCCGTACTTACTGCGGGGAAGAGAAACGTTCACCTTTAATCAAGACGCTAACATTCCAAGAAGGCACTCACGCAGAAGGCTTAAGAAGTAACCACAGCCACTTATTATAAGTAAGTAATGTGTGGCGGAGATGAATAATGTAGAGACAAGAATTCCCAATGTTTGTCTACAACTATCAAAAATCTTCAATAAAACTGAATCGCAGGGCGAATATACTCGTTTGTGAAGTAACGAAATAATGAGGGTCAAGTTCTACTAGTTAAACAATGTAATACAAAATGTGATAGTTACATTTTCAGTGTTTGTTCACGCATAATGATGTTTCATTTTATTATCGTGCGGTGATCCACTTCACAATGCACAAACCATTGATAGACGGTACTAATGTAAAAAATAAACAATTATTTATTTTGGTACAGTTTTCATGAAAATAACAGTAGACCAGTCAACAGCATCATAGAATATTGATCATAGACATAGTGGTTAACACAGCTAGGGTTCACAAAATAGCCGAAAGCTTGGAATGCATAAGATTAGTCTAATAAACTAAAAGTCATACCATACAAAAAATGAAACTATGCTTACTTTGGTTTAAGCAAAGGCATCCAAGTAGACTTTGTGCAGTTAAGATAAGAAGAAAACAACAAATCAAGTACAAACATGAAATGTAACTATTCTAATGACACTGACTAAACTGTGTACTGAATATGAGCAGCATGATGTAATTATCATACGCGTTGTCACTGTGCGTGTATTACGTTCCATCCGGCTAGTGAACCATAGGCACTTCCCACTTATCAGTAGAATCCAAATATGCAATTAATTATTTATGCTGAATTTTACCCAACATGAAATATCGTTATTACAGGCTACATATAGACAAGTGTTGCAACTTTCCAGTATAATTACAAACTTTTACGATATGTCAATCAAACACTTGTGACAAATGCATGTAACACCACCGAATGCAGAATGAAAAACAAGCGAAGAATGAAGCCTGCATCCTTATTTTACTAAACGGCTCGTAGATATATATATATTTGATGCAGGTGGGACATTTTAATTTTCTCAGGACAGTAAGAGACATAAACAGTTTACAAAAAGCCACTTTACAACTTTGCTCCGGCAAACTTTACGGATTACTGGGATCACCTTCACGTCAGTTTCTACATCTTGTATCCACTACATGCCTCCCGCTTTTCATATGACAAAATTCTATTACGAAGGAGTGAAATAGAGAGCTTACCTTCACCACCAACCGACTTAATCTTGACTGAATAAAACAGTTTACAACTTTTAATTAACCCTTGTTTAACAAACAAACTACTTGTTACTGTAAAACTACTTATTCATGATGACCTGAGAGTGAAAACGTACAGGTAAGGACAATCAAAGCCTCAATATGATACAGTTCAGTTTCCAAAGATCCAGTCTATGGAATCATTTAATTCGATAGCAGCGCTTCTTCAAGTGACCATAGTAAATCCTTTGAAAACTGAATGTCTACGCACATGTATGGAAAGCACTCAACACGAGTTTACATTAACCTCGACAACATATAGACTGATTATATTGCATCTTTGGAAGACATATGTATACATAAATATCCCAAACAGGAAATCCCTTCTAAGTATGAAGAACTGACATTCACTAGCACTGAAAATGTAGATTTCACAAAACAGTATATTGTCGAAAGATATTCAAGTAGTGGAATGAAAGTAAGAGAAAGCATAATGTGAAGCTATTAGTGAAAATAAATTAAAAATCAAGCTGTTTAAGTGAAAAAATAGAAAAAACTAAATTTCGAACAGTTTCGGTTTACTTTTCATTCTCACTTATATTTTCATTGTCAACTTTGGTTCTTGTACATGTCGACCTTTCGAAAACGGAGCCAATAAGACCATGAGCAGTGTTTAACAAGTTTACTGGTGTCGAACCATCTGTAATCAGTGTACTCTGTAGACCTAAAGCCTTCAACATGCGTAAGTTGTGATCTGACTCAGCTGTTGCCATAGCACGTAAGGTGTCTGCACCGAGTGCATTGACCATTGAGATAAAACGTGATTTTTCAATTTCTACTTCATCAGCTTTATATTTCAAAGTCAACTCATTCTTTTGTTTTAGATAGGCGATTTCCGCTTCTCGAGCTAACTGAAGTCTTTGCAATTCTGCATTCTGGAAATTAAAAATTAAAGTAAGAGATAATCGATATATATATATATATATAGATGCTTTGGTAATAACTCATTTCAGAGAAAGCAACCACATCAAACTCATCCGACATAGCTACAAATCATCTCCATTACATCTATAGTTCTATACCAGGTTGCACAGCGGTTCAACGAGATGAAAGATACGTTATGCACACACCATTAATGATTTATAATTCAAATATATTATATTTCCTAAAACATCACACTAACTACTACCTCTGAATTGTATATTTTTCTCTTCGTATACGAATATATTTATTTCACTACCTATACAATAGAGACACAATGCCACTCGGTCTTCATGTTTTCTTACTACATAAATCTATTCTGTATAAATACGCAAAAGCACCAAACAAAGGTATCATAGATCAATGACTGAGATGATAAATTCATAATCTGTCATAAAACGTCTGGTTATAGTTGCTGTCAAAAAGCATTTGAAATTATAAAATATTACACAAAAGCAGTTTAGAAAATGTTAACTGCAAATTTATCTACCGTTTCAATTGATAAAGCTTCAGCACGAAGTTTAGCTTCCTCAATAGCAGCTTGGCTAGAAATACGATTCGCTTCAACTCGACTCTCGGCTTCTGCTTTAGCCTGGCCACTAATTTCAAGAGCAGCCAACTGCATTCGAATTTCAAGTAAATGACGTCTAGCCTCCTCAGCAGCTGCTTCATCCTCAATTCTTTGACGTTCTAGTCGACCTTTCGACTCCTGTTCAATTCTTTCAGCTTCATGACTGAAAGAAAAATGATCATTTGAAAATTGACAGAACTATTCACTTTTACTTTTCAAAAGTCTGTTGTACTGTTACTCAAAACATTAAAAAAGAAATAAATAGTAAGTTTGCTGAATACACCTGAACGAACTTGCAACTGAAGGAACTAGAATCGTTGTCTAGAACAACAATTTAAAAATCAACTTACACAGGACACGATGTATTTGAGAAACGGAGGTGAAATACTATGATATTTTGCAGCATGAACAAATCATTAACTTTGAAGCAATTATCACACGACATTTATTTTCCGAACGTGTAAACTATCAACCTACCACTGCCTACATAATTCTCTATACACCTTATCGTATCATTTTACCTGCATTGATTGATGTTAAAACCAGTGAATTCTCTTTGCATTACACTGTTCAGTTATTTGTGCTTTGACTTACTATCATTCCCATCAATTTTATCTTTAAAATGTGTGAATACACAATATACTTATATCAGTGCAACAAATTTTATTTTAAGTTTCCGCCTTCATATAAACCATTGAATCATACCCTCGTGCTTAGTCAGTAATGCATGTTACCGATCTTGCTTCATTATAATACAGGTTACCTGCAGTGCAGGAGGGGTCGAATTTCCTTGTTTTCCTGCATTTAGAATATTCATTAAAAATAGATTGTCTACAATGAAGTTTACTTTCTTACCGAGCAGCTGCTTCTTGTGAATTAGTTGTTATTTCAATAGCCAGTTGAACTGATTTTTGCAACGACTCTCGCGTTCGCTGGTCTACCGGCTCTACTGACTGTACATCAACACTTGTAATGTGAAGATTATTCTGAGGGAATACAAATCGATCTCGAATTTTTCCCGCTTCATCCAATCCGAAGACAGAGGCACGAATTATTCGTGATGAATTCTAAAATTTGCAAATACAAGAAATCGTAGTGTGCAGTAGTTATACATAAACTTGATGATGTTAATTCAACAATTCTGTGTGAGGACAGTTGAATTCAGTTGAATTTAGTGTTGATCAATATACAACTGAAGATTGCTGAGTGCAATTAGAAAAACAGAAAAGGAGAAGCATCGTCGCTGACATATCAACGTAGAACTTTGCACAAAAATGAGACTGTTCAAATTCCCAGGCTTTAGAGAAACGTAGATAAAATTAGAAAAATGTAATGAAACTAGAACAGATGGAAGTGTACGGGATAAGGGGAGAAATAAGGAATGAAGAAGATCTAAACCAGTCTAAATGGTCTTGAACTATGTCTACAACCATTTCTTAGTAGTTCTACAACCTCAGCCGGACAACGTATACCACCCTACATGGCCAACACAATAGTCCGTGACTTCACACCTTACACTGCGGGTTGAGGAACTTGTTGGCTTTGTGAGTGTTACCAAATGCCCTAGCCTTCTCAACGGATGCAGTTTCATAACCTCAGTGACGAACATTCTCTTCCAAAGTAAAGCTATATCTACAAATACAGTGTTTTTTCAAAAGCAAAATGTTATTTAGTAGAACCTGCAACACAACACAGTGCAAAAGGAAAGGGCATAAACTAAGCAACAAAGTAATAAATCAGAAGGCGTTTTCTCAAACACCGTTTTCGGTAGATTTCAGCTTGGCAGTTGCAATGGTTGGCGAACATTCCGAGACAGTTTCAACACAAAGTTTACTGGTGCAAATACGACTGGAGTTAAAGGTTGAAAAGGCGACTAGTTATCACACTTGAACTTAGCCAAACACTTATACAAGTTCATTCAAGCAAAAGAACTAATATTGCTGCCAACCAGCATGATATAAGAATGATTTCCAAGGAAAGATTTCTCTTACTACACAGAGAGCTAAAATTCAACAACATCAATCACGTGCAACCAAGGTGTCAGAGAAGAGAACTAAGTCAACAGTATATACCTTATTTTGGATTATCATATAATTTAAGGAGTTTCAGATGACTGAAAGCTGTGTTGAATAAATCAAAATCAAGAGTGTAACTCATTAGAAATCAATCGCTCGGCGTAATAAGTCGATCGTGACTTTTCTAATCTGCAGCCAGTTTAGTGCTTCACATGCACTTAGACGACGCATCGCGTGTTCTACACTTACAGATAGTGATCGTTAATTGATTACATGAGATTTGGTTAGTTTGTGTATTGTCACATAGTAAGATGATGTCATCTACAAACTCGAAGTAGAGAAGTTTTTCTCCATGCAGTAAGTCCACACCACCATATATCCTTCAGAGCTATCTCCAGATTAATATCGATAGAAAAGCTAAGCAGCAATGGCGAAATTGGGAAATCCAGCATGACGCATTTGTTAGTCCAGAAAAGTGGTAATTGCTGTTTGCATGCCCTTACTCTATCTGAGATGTTTTCTAAACACCTTTCAGCATGTCAAGAAACTTCTCAGGAACACGTCACTTTAACAGAAAATTCCGAATAGCAGTTCTGTCAAACAAATCAAAGGCTGTTCTAGAATCTAGAAGAAGCTTTGTTGCTGTCATAACCGTCTCTCACTGATAAAAAATTCAGGCCTAATCTCCACTATCAATTATATGAGAAGCTCTATCAAAGGGAGTTAAGGCTAGTGGAATATTAGCCATGACAAGTAATCGAAGTTTAAATTTTATTCATGCAAGAGTAGAATTCTATCTCTGTGACAGAGAATAATTCCATACTACACAATCTTATTTGACATACAGTGCAATTAAATAGTATGACCAACTGTTTGATGTTTTGAGCACAATGTGCTGATCATGATCATATCAATAAATTGTCTGTGAATTCCTCTGGATACACTGATGTAACTGTGAGTAATAAATTGTGATCGAAACGTTGTCAGTAAATAACACTGCATAGATGTACTTTATCACGTGAAACTATCCAACGATGAAGGAAAAAGGTTAACTTATCGTATTCGGTTTGTATTCAGCGAAAATCAATTTTGGTATCCGACTAGTCGATTACATCACTTTCTTTATACGTAGTCATGAACTTCAAGTTAAAGTAAATCAACTTTGACAGAGAGGTAGATTAAAGGTTGACTTCAAGCATTATTAAAATATGGCATATTCCAAACAATAAGTTTACTATCATCACATGAAGTTAGATAAGATGAAAAATCATATTACAAGTAATGAAGAACACACTATACCTTGTGAAAATCATCGAACTGAACAGAGGCAACAGTACCACGAATACGAGATGCTATGGCCATGCAAGCGTCTCCAACAAAATCTGGAACTGAAAATAACTTAGCAGCATCAGCTTGACTGCACGATGGAGAGATATCAAACACCCAATTGTAGGATAGCTGTAGAGACAGGCGAGCATGATCTGCTGTTTCCACAATAACAATATCTGTACAGAAGTCTGGACCTAAGAGTAAGCAAAGAGTTTTAATTACATTAGGTTTCTTGGGTTTTCCACCACTCAAGCTGAGACGAGTAAACTGTTCGTCTGGTCCCAACATAGCTAAATGTGGTCCAAACTCGACTCTAGACCTTTTATTTTTGTAGTCGTAAATTTGAACTGCAGCATTGTGTGGAACACGAAAAGTAACCACACGGGTTGCATCAAAGTCAGCGGATGTTTCTCCAGAGGATCGAACTCCACGATCTGCACATGGGTCTAAGTTCATTGATAACAACTGAACAACATCAGGTTGAAGCTTCTTTTCCCATAACTCTTCATCCTGATTTAGCATATAGGCATGACCAATAACAGCACGAACTTGTCCTGTTTGCATATTGCGAACGTAAACGCCCTCAATAAAATCTAACAGAATCATTTCTCGACGTCCCATCCATTCAACTTCAACAGGAGGTACGTATTCGATAGGTCCACGTAACATCCACCGATCTCCAGGACGACGTAACTGAAAGCAAAATGTAGATAAAACCAGCTGCATTATATAATGTCTAAGGGAAACTAAACGGATTTTATGCATATGAAGTCTGTAATAAAACAATTGTAAAATAACAGAAATAATCACTAAACAGTGATAAATCACTTTGCAGAGCATTTATTTGTTTCACATGATTTAAGCTGACCACACTTTCTCTACTATGTTATTCTTGCTTCTTCTACATTTTCTCAAATAAGTTATCTACTGTGCACTAACAAGCAACCTAAATTTTTAAATACATAATTTTATATGGAGACAATTCTTGTTTGATTCTACATAATTGCGACGGCGAATAAAAGGTTATAATTATTTCCAACTAGATATGGTTTACGAAAGGCTGAGAAACAAAATTACACAGGATCAGAACGGATATCAAGTGTGTAAATATGAGCATGGAAACAAAATTGAAATAATAATTTTCAACTTGAGATGGGAATTAGGAGGTGCGAATATAGATTACAAGAGCCTTAAAAATTATCCAGAGCTAAAACGAATTACAGGTGTATAGAAAATGAGCATGGAAACAAAAATTGAAATTATAGTTTTAACTTGAAATGGGAATTAGGAGGTGCGAATATAGATTACAAGAGCCTTAGAAACACAAAAATTGCACAAGATTAAGATATAATTGTAAAATAGTTAATTTAATTTTATTATTACACGAATTATAAATGTGAACGGGAAAAGCATGGAAACATACTTAAAACAACTGTTATTATCACTGAAAAAAATGAGGTGAATCAAATGAAGACTGGGGGAGTAAGAATCACACACATAGCGAACGAAAAAGGATCAAAAAGAAAAAAGAGAACGAAAGAAGAAAAAAACGGAAACTAAGGTAACATACCGAACTCAGTCCATGGTAGTTGTAGAGGTTGGACTAGTTTCTTTTGAACACAGAGCTCCGGCTTCTCGCTGCTTATTGCGAGGGCTTCTGCAGTACAGAGAAGTCGGAAACAAACTGTTTTCGGTAGGTTTCTGTTGACTTTGTACATTACTTTGAAAGAATCAGTTGAGATGTTGTGGGAGGTGTTGATCAGATATTCAATAATGGCACTTCTGATTGAACCGGTGCCTCCTCTCTGCAGCCACGCTGAGTAATGTTCTCTAACACGTTTTGAATAGACGCGCATACAACGACCTATGTACCTAGCTCCGCACGAGCAGGTGAACTGGTATATGCACATTGAATTGGTCATATGCGAGAGTTTGTCCTTCGTGTTGTTTCGAAGTATTGGACGGCTAGAGAATGTCACTCTTAGTGTTGCTGCAGGGAAGGTCTTCTTTAAAGAGCTGGATGTTCTCCTCTTCAGGATGTCGGCTGCCAAATCTCCCCTGAAATTCAGATTCAGATACAGCGTTTTCTTTGGCGCTGTATCTGAATCTGAATTTCAGAGGAGATTTGGCAGCCAACAGGAAAATAACATTTCAAATCAATAACAGATTGCATAGAGATTTCATAAAATGTGAAAATACTTACGATTGTTTTCTGTTTTATGGAGCCTTCTTCAGACGCATTGTCCTCGAGAATATCGTCCATAAACTCTTTCCTGGCACAAAGAATCAGGCCCTCATCACTTTCCAGAACAAAAGTTTTCTCAACACCGTCCTCTAGGTATTCTCCTGGTCTCAGGAAAAAAGACTTTTCACCACGTATCATTGCTTTTCTGCCTAACTGAGGCACTCCATTCTCATCACAAGGATTGACTATAACACAATACTCATGAGCCCGCAGCACAGTTACTTGAACTTCTTCCACAATCTCTTCAAGTGCACCACAGATATGATACTCTGCTTCTTCATTTGTTATTAACCACTCTTCACCAGCCTTGCGATATTTATTGAATTTGTCCGTATGTGATTTGATAGCTCTGACGGATACAGCTAGCTTTAAGATAAACCATAAATGTCAGTCAGCGGATAAAGTAATTCAAAAACTAAGGGTTATTTTACGATATTTTAGCACTATTCATAAACAATAAGTCGTTATTACTTAGTCC